TTTACAGAGTCAGCCTCTGGCCCCCAACAATCTAGGTCCTCATTTTACCCACCTCGGAAGGATGGAAAGATGAGTCCATTCACACACACACACACACACACACACACACACACACACACTCAAGGCCGAGCATCACATTGGCATCCAGAACACTGCATTGCTCATGGAAAGAGCGAACCGACCTGCTGATTTCAATTTATCAGCTGCTGAATCAGGTCTCTGTTGGCCCACTTGTACTTAAAAAACACACACACACACACACACACACACACACACACACACACGATCCCACAAACTTCAGATCTGCCTGCTCATGCTCCGAGGAAGCCTCTGGCAAAATGAGAGTGATGCATTCACGGAAAAGGGCAGCTGAATCACGGACTCCAGCTGATTCATTCAGCCTGGGATGAATCAGGGACAGACATACACACCCCTTTGGCTGTCCTGCACGACAACGGAGGGGAGTATGGGACAGGTAGTCCTCAGCTTAGGGCCTTGATGGAGTCCAACCTTCCTACTACTCAGCAAGGCTATGAGGAGTGCTGCAATGGTCATTAAGTGTGGAAAACGGTCACAAGTCACATTTTTCAGTGGCTTTCTCAATTGTGGTCATAAGCACAGGAGGAGCTGCATTAGGTTTCGAGTGCAAGTATCTTTCAGGACTAGCTGGGGAATTCTGGGAGTTGAAGCCCACAAGTATTCAAAACCCCTAAGCCTTGGAGACCCCTGCTCTGACCAGTGGCCCACCCCACCTGCTTTGAAACCAAATCCTTTTCCTCTCCTCTCCTCTGCAGCTTTCACTTTCTTTGATCCCAACGATCCCGCTTGCCAAGAAATCCTCTACGACCCCATCACCACCGTCCCGGAGCTCTTCGCCATCATCCGCCAATGGGTTCCCCAGGTGCAGCACAAGATCGACATGATTGGCAATGAGGTGAGCGGGCATTGGGCAGGCCCCCGAGGGTTAAGCGGTGAAGGCACCAGGCCGGGAACCAGGAGACGGGGAATTCTAGTCCATCCTGGGAATTCTGGTCCATCCTTGGGCCAATCATGAGGAGATAGGGAGTTCTAGTCCCACCTTAGGCATGATAGCCAGCTGGGTGCGCCAGTCACCAGGTGACAGCGAGTTCTAGTCCTGCCTTAGGCATGGAAGTTGGCTGAGTGATTATAAGCCAATCACCAGGAGGCTGGGAGTTCTAATCCCACCTTAGGCACGAAAGCCAGCTGGGTGACTTTGGGCCAATCACCAGGAGACGGGGAGTTCTAGTCCCACCTTAGGCATGATAGCCAGTTGGATGGGCCAATCACCAGGTGACGGTGAGTTCTAGTTCTGCCTTAGGCGTGAAAGATGGCTGAGTCATTCTAGGCCAATCACCAAGAGGCTGGGAGTTCTAGTCCCGCCTTAGGCACGAAAGCCAGCTGGGTGATTATGGGCCAATCACCAGGAGACGGGGAGTTCTAGTCCCACCTTAGGCATGATAGCCAGCTGGGTGGGCCAATCACCAGGTGACGGTGAGTTCTAGTCCTGCCTTAGGCGTGATAGCTGGCTAGGTGACTTGGGCCAATCATCAAGAAACTGGGAGTTCTAGTCCCGCCTTAGGCATGAAAGCTGAATTTGCTTTAATGACTGCATGACTTGCTTAATGACCATGATGAAAATGGTCATGAAATTGACCCTGTATCATGATGACTCACTTAGTGACCAAAATTCTGGATCCCATTGTGGTCATAAGTTGAGGACTACCGGTAGCCTCTTCCTTGTTCTTCTGTCCCCTTCAGATCCTGAAGCGTGGATGCCACGTCGATGACCGGGATGGGCTGACAGATATGACCCTTCTGCATTATGCGTGTAAAGCTGGCGCACACGGTGTGGGTGAGACGCAAAATACTGAAATTCATATTTATTTATTTCCTTATTAAATTTATTTGCCAGCTATCTTGCCCCCAAGGCGACACTGGGCAGCTTAGAACATTAAAAGCTGTGAAACCAGAAAATATGCATATTTCTAAAGACAATGAAAAAAGGTGGATTATACTTTCAGATGCACAAAGCTTAGACTTGTGCTGGGTTACCCAAAACACACACCTGAAATGTGAATTTTCTGAGCCCCTTCTTGTCAAACTTCTCCTTTCTTGTACAATTATAAAATTTAGATTATAATGATCTTGTGTCCTGTATTTCTGTCCTTGATTAGAATATGCAGTTTAGTACAATTTTTCTTGATTTGGTGCTTGAAGTTTCCTTGACCAAGCAAAACTATAATTTTTTTAAAAAATCCTTCTTGTTGCCTCTATTTTTTTTCCTCAAGAAAAAAGAGGGTCATTGTAGTTTAGATTAGAATTTAGCTCACTGGGACTTGAAGCAGAATAAAGGGCCATTCCTGAAGTACTTGCTAACAAATTCTTTTTCCTTCACTTCACTTTATTTTTGTACTTCACTTTTTATTTCACTTCACTTATTATTTCACTTTTCACTTTCCTTTTTACTTCATGTTTTACTTCATTTTATTTTTATTTTATATATTATTTTATTTTTATTCTATTTATTATTTTATTGATTTATGTCCCACCCCATCTCACCTAGAGGTGACTTATGGGGTCAGTTCCCTCTGGGGAGGCTTTTGAGGGAGCTTACCTGTGTTTTCCCTCATCCCAGGTGACCCTGCCGCCGCCGTGCGCCTCTCTAACCAACTGCTGGCTCTGGACGCAGATGTGACACTGCGCAGCCGCTGGACCAACATGAACGCCCTCCATTACGCGGCTTACTTCGACGTCCCTGAACTCATCCGCATCCTCCTCAAGGCCTCCAAGCCAAAAGGTGTGTGGGACACGTTACCCGGGTGATGGGAAGCCAAAGTCACCTGGCAGCTTTGTTAAGGCTTGCTTCAATCGCCATTTTTAAGTCGAACAAGTCACAGTTTAGGACGACCTTTGGCAACCTTGGGAATTTGAAGAGGGGTAGACTTCAACTCCCAGAATCCCCCACCCCTCCTCAAGTACCATAGGTCGCTGGCTGGGGAATTCTGGGAGTTGAAATCCTCACATCTGAAAGTTCACTAGCATGCAGGCTGGGGAATTCTAACGTGTGGGAAACTGTTCCCGGTAACCGGCGGCTCCTCTCCTGGGATCCCTCCACTCTCTGCTGTCTTTGATACTCAGTAAAGCAGGAACTGCTCTTGAGTTTTGCTTCTGAAATGCAAGAAACAGCGCAAGGGTTGGGAGATTTTCTATCAGGAAATGTTGGCTGGTGCCCGTGGCAGAGATGCTAAAATGTTGGTCAAATGTGGAGAGCCAGCCCTGTTGTCTAGGAGTCATCGCGGGAAGCAGAGCACACCAATTCATGCTAGTGACAACAAGGATATATTGTGAGATCTGTGGTGCTGCTCTCCCTCTCAGCTTTCCTTCTAAGCCAGAGTTTCTTAGCCAAGATGGGTGGACTTCAATTCCCAGAATTCCCCAGCCAACGTGGGGGGGTGGGGGGCGGTGGTCCACTCCTCTTCAAATACAATAGCAGGCTGGTTGGGGAATCCTGGGAGTTGAAGTCATCACGTCTTCAAGTTACCAAGCGTGTCTGACTGGGGAATTCTGGGAGTTGAAGTCCACCTGCCTTAAAGTTCTATAGCATGTTAGCTGGGGAATTCTGGGAGTGAAGTCCACACGTTTCAAAGTTCACTAGCTTACTAGCATCGCTCCTTGTATCTTTTGAAGACCTTCATGGACATCGTGGTTGGAGAAACCTCACATGGGACATAAAGAACCTGGTCTTTCCTTCCCGCCAAGGCCAGGGGCTATACAGAGCTTAATATTTTGCAAATGCAGCCTAAAAAAATTCAGAATCCCAACCCTAGCCTATATTGTCTTTTTCCTGAAGTTCTCAACTCGACGTGCAGTGACTTCAACCACGGAACCGCCTTACACATCGCTGCTTCGAATCTCTGTTTGGGGGCCGTGAAGTGTCTTCTGGAACACGGGGCCAACCCCGCTGTCAGGGTAAGAAAAAACGGGGGTGCAGATAATGGGCAGGTGGGTTTTTAACTGACAATAAGAAAGACCCCTACTCTCAGGAACGTGGATCCAATGCCTTCAAAACTATTATTATTATGATGGTTAATCTTTGGTGAGAAGAATCAATCTTTGGTTAATCTTTGGTGGGGCTGGCTGGTAGCTCAACAGCTCGAGTCCTAACCAAGGACCTAGGAACTGTTAAGGTAGTTGTTGTAGTTGTTATTATTACTATTATTTTATTATTACTATTACTATTATTATTATTATTATTATTATTACTATTATTACTATTATTATTATTATTATTATTATTATTATTATTATTATTATTATTA